AATAACATCACTGTTGCTTCCTTTTCCTTGTACAGTATTCTTACCAAAATCTTCTGATTGGCTGCTCATGCTCAAATCCTGGATTTCTATACACATGTGCACTTCCTTCACATGCAATGTCTTTCTTCTCCCATTTTGACTGATGTAAGTCCTTGCTTTCTGTTCATGGGTTCTGACAACCAGCAAAGCTGCAATCAGAAAACTTTAGGAAAGAATCAGCAGCAGTCAGGAACTGTGTACTCTCTAATTTCTGGTATGTTGTGTGCAGAAAGAAATGTTTTGTGTAGTTTTTCCTAAACCAAGCACAGATTTGTGCGCCACAATATGAGTATACAAGTAAATTGCAAGTAAATACATGTAATATCCACTTGTAGACATGTTTGTATATTTCTTGGGTAAAGTACAGTATAGAAACTAGAAAATATAGTAGTATGTCACTTATATGCTTAGAAATTGTGTTTCCAAGTCATTTTTTAACTCCTGGTGACTGCCCCCTGCATTTTTCAGAAGTGACTTGCCAGTTCTTTCCTCCTAAGAGAAGTGACCGGCCCAAGGTCACCCAGCTGGCTTTGTGCCTAAGGTGGGACTAGAACTCACAGTCTCCTGGCTTTTAGCCTGGTGCCTTAGTCACTACACCAAAGTGGGTCTGCATATACATACTTGCAGATAATAACATAAACTCACTAGTCACTGATAACTGATATGGCAATCGATATTTTGTAAGCATTTTTGTCTTGATATTGTAATGCAGACATTTAAAGAAAAAAGAAAAGCATTGTACAAAACCATTTAGATAGCTCCCTCTCCATCATTTTTCCTTTCCTTTTCTTTTCTTTTTCTTAAATGCATTCTGAACTTATTCAAACTTTATTATTAATTTAAAAATGGAAATTGCTATAAAGTTAACAATGATCATGGACTTTGTGCAGCTCAAAACTCAACAGATATTAAACTTTTTTTTTTTTTAGGGAGGAGGGAGTTATTCCTTCATGCACGGGAGGCTCTGGGGTTGCACCCAGTGTGTCTCTAGTTGGGCATGATTTGGGGCAGGTGAGCTACAAGGCCAGGAAAGGACTGCTTGCCTGATGTCCAGGAGCTCCTGCTCAGTCTGCACCGTGGTGATGCCAAGCGACCCTCACTGGTGCACTTAAGCCAAGGCAGCAAGCTTGTGCAGGGCTCCTCATGAGTCGTGAGCTCAGAAGTTTTATAATGCATTATTATTATTATTATTATTATTATTATTATTATTATAGAACTTAATTTTGTGTGCACTCAATTTTTTATTGTGTGCATGGTTTTGAGAGTAGTGTGGACACATACAGTGAAATGCACACCTTAGAGCAGTATTTCTCAACCCTTGCAACTTTAAGATGTGTGGACTTCAGTTGTCAAGGTTGAGAAACACTGCTTTAGAGGGAACATAGGTCAGGAATCAACCAGCAATCTCTTCCCCTTGGGGGCACTTCTGCCTTTTCACTTTCCTTGGGAGGGGGATCTCAAGCATGGCTTTATTTCACTTTTTAAAATGTGGAGGAAGGGAAGGGAGTCTTACGCTGGTAATGACTGATCAGTGGATTTTAAAGATTTAATTTCAGGGGATGGTGTAGAAAGTCCCAGTATTCCTTTAATCACAGGTTTACACAAAGTTACCATATCCAGGATGCAAAACTGCAGATGAACAGTAGGTAGAAGCAAAGAGGAGAAGAAAATTGTAATCTTCTGCTGCCATCTAGGACCCACCTGGATTTTACAGCCCACATATGGTGGCTCTATTATTTGATTTAATAATTCAGTCTTAATTAGAAAGTCTTGGGGAGATTACAGCATTGTACATTCTGAAAAGACATCTTTTTTCATCTGTAAGCATATAATGGGGAAGGGAGGGGCCTACTTTTTTATCTCACCTACCCACTGTGAACACAAAATAATTAAAAAGTGTGAAACAGTAAACAAAATTATGCAGTTATGGCTAAGGAAACTACTGCTCTACACCATGGTTACTCCAGGGCCTGCTGAAAGATGTGACTTAGGCCTTGCTCTTGGATGCAGTTCCCATGGCAACAAATTCCAGTAATAAAAAAGAGGTTATTCACATTGACAGTAGTTGGGTACAAAAAAAAAAAAAATGCTTATGCTGCTATCTAGACCTAAGTGTAACTTGAAGGGCGGGAAATACTTTGTAGGACAAATGAGGCTGTTGCTATGGTGATGGAAGTGTAGTCTCAGAAATGGTGGAGGCTGGGCTGGCACAAGCATTTCAACTGTGGGAAGTTGCCAGGTGTTTGGGGTGGGGGCACAGAACTGGATTCTTCTCAGCAGAGTTGCTGACACAACTTACTAGTAGGTACTGTGCATGCCATGCACTGCGGTTCTTAACAGGGATCACATTGGAGCTTGCCAAAGTCTCAAGGGGTGCAGCCAAGTCAAGGCACCCTGCCTATTCCTTTCTCCAGGGTAAACCCTGGGGGATTTACAAGAGATTGTCAAGTTTTATTTACCAAATCTATATCTTGGCTCCATCTGATGACCCCTGAGGTTTACATAATCTGCAAAAAATGAAAACATCCATGTCATGATTAAAATATCAAAAACAAATCATAAAATAAACAACCAACCTACAGTATTACCATAAAAATAACAAAAATAGAAAGTAAAAAAGAGAGGGCACACTGGGTGAACATCGTTGGAACACTCTTTAGAAAAGCTCAGTGGTTAACAACCTATTGACAGCCTTCAAGGAGGGGAGTAGCTTGATCTCTGCAGGGAGTCCATTCCACAGCACTATCACTGCTGCTGAGAAATAGCGCCTTCTAGCTTCAGTTCCCCTTGTCTCCGAGAAATGTGGCAGCACAAGGAGTGTCTCCTCAATGCTTCAGTAGGTCAGGTCAATACAGGGAGAAGAAGGCAGTCCTGTGAGTACAGATCACACATGTAAAAAATGGGTGGGGCTTCAGTTGTGCAGCTGCAGCTGCCATCTTGATATTTTTTTATATCCCTGGCAGTTGGTTTTACCTGCAGTGAGCCCTAGCATTTGCTAACATTGGGAATGGCTTTACCCTCAAGCTGAATCAAAACAATCAATGCAGTGGTTTTAGATGGTTACTGAAAACAGCTGTCTCAAAGTAAAACCTAGATCTAGGATTGGTTACAGTGGATTATCTCATGCTGCCTAAATGAGTCCACCAGTTCCCCTGGCTGCCTCTTATTCCTGAAACCATTTTGCAGAGCAGCTGTATGGCTTCATTAGTCTCTCTTGATAAAAATCTTTTATGTGTTTTAGCCCATTTTTTTTTCAGCTCTGTTGAAAATGAATGTAAATACTTATGACTATATGTGAGCATTATTCCTCCCCATATTACTATATTCAGCCCTTTCTGACACAAAATGTAGACCTGGGATGGACAACCTATGGCCCTCCAGATGTTCTTGAATTATATCTCCCATCTCTCATAACTGAGCACATTTGGTGGAGCTACTGGGAATTGTAGTTCAGCAACATCTGGAAGAGCACTAATTTATTTTCCTTGATTGAAACCAGAAACTCATCTGGGGGGACTTATTTTGTTCATTGTTCTGAAAATCAACATTGTTTACTAATGGCATTAAATTACGTGTTGTTAAGTGTTACTGGGTTGCAGCTTTCATCTGGATCTAGCTCATAGGCATTCTGGGTCTAGTCTGACTGGGAGATGATAAGATAGAACATCTAGAAGCATCATATTAGGGAAGATTATTATGTTAGATGTGTAATATTGGAAAAACACATCATGCTTCCTGTTCCTTTGGAGCTAACTACATCTGTTACAAGACTTGTCGATCAAAAGGTTCTGGAGCTAACTACATTTGAATGTATTCTATAGCAATGATTGTCCCAGGTCCACCTTGATCCAGTGACTTCCTTCCAGCTGAAGTCTTGTCCCCAGGGAGCTGAGATTCAGAGCCAAATGGAGCTGAATCAGTGTCTCTGTTGAGAGATCATCTTTCCGTTTGCACACAGGATGGGAAGAATATGTTAGGCAACCAGCCAGCAGAGTGACCTTTGCCATGTGTGACCAATCATCATATTTATATAAGACTAGAATGAAATGGGTTGATGGGAACCAGTCCTGCCTGATCTGTAGAGCACTAAAGAACGGCAAGAGATGCAATGAGACAAAACATGTACTGGGGAAATAGAACAATTGAGTATTTTATTTTTATTTATGATGTTTTCTTACTAGCTCTGCTCCAGGTGTTTGTTTGTTTGTTTGAGTTCTCCTGTGTCTAAAGTAATTTTTCTTTATGTTAGTTCTTGATTATGTTAAGGCATGGGAAGAGAATAGTCTGTTTTAGAAAATCCATTGGTTTTGGCTTGAGTATCCATTTTTGATTTGTGATCACTCTTCCCCCTCTTGAGGTTGCAGAAGAGTTTACTTACTGCATTTAAACCATTTAGAGCACCACTGTTAAAAAACGGTAGTCAGAGTTGGAGTCTGAAGGAAGCTCAAAGTCTATTCTTACTATAAATTGCTTGTTTATGAGACATACCAAATCAATACCTGACTCCTTGCGGTGTTCCAAAATATTTAAAATGTGCAAATGACAGCCACAAAATGCTGATAGAAGAGCAGTTTCAATGAAGGAAGTGAGATTGTATTATCTGAGAAAATATATCCTATTTAGTCCCAGAAACAATAGGAGGAGTATTGTTGGCAAATGCTAGAGAAGCAGATGATGTATTGCTATTGGGTAGCCAAATAGGAAGCAACTTTTAAAAAACAGATGAAATACCATAGATAGAAAGGAAGTAGAACATAGAAGCTTTAGAGATGGAATGGAAGTGGAATGTCCCATATTACTGTTAACCAGCTGCATTTTTGCTACATCTCTAACAACTGGATTTGGCAATATGACTACCAAGGAAGATTGGAAAGAATAATGAAAAAATGCATAAATATTCAAATCCCGTGATAGTGGGTGGAAGTTTTGTATCCTAATGTATTCTTCTATGCTCTCTCTCTCTCTCCTACAGAGGTGGTGATCAAAGTCCAAGTGTACGAAAATGGCGATTTATCCCCACTTTCCCAGGCAGCGGTGGAAGTGTATGGCAACCAAACATCTTTGGCTTCAGGCACCACTGATCATGAGGGTATCAGCATGCTCCCCATCAGCTATCGCTTGGGCACCTGGGTCCTTGTCATGGCCTCCAAGCGTGGCTTTGTTACAAACTCTGTTCCTTGGCGTGTCAACAAACTACCACGTGAGTGTTGTCAATCATTGGTTGAAAGAACCTGGTGACTGAGAAATTACAGAGGCCTGGGTGTGTGGTGGGTACCTCATGGGTAGATAACAAAAGATGTATCTATTATCAAGACACTTTCCAGTGTTGCAAGAAAATCCAAACTCTATGAACTTTAATAAGTAGAATAAGAAAGTAGCATATTTTTCTTCAATACAATAAGAGTACTTAATATTTTGCAGATATTTTAAACAATCCTTTCTTGGAGACAATGGCATTATCCCAGAACTTTGGCCAGTTTTCCCAATATTTGCAAAGTTATATTTCATTGAGTGTACCTGAATTTCATATCAAGGTGTGTGGGTTTTCAAAAAGTTGCATGAGAAGTGTGTTAATATAAGAAAAGGGGAGCTTAGATTTTACCAAAGCTAATCTAGTCTGGCATTCTGCTTCCCATAATGACCAACTGGATGTTTTAGGGAAGCCTTTGAAGGGCAATAGCTTCCCTTTTATTGCTGTCAGCATCTTCAGCTGCAAAATACTGCCTTAGAGATGTTAGAAGTTATAGATGTCATGTAGCCATTGTGGCTAGTGATCATGGATGATGGAGTTATTTTCCATGGTCATGTCTAATATCTCTTTAAAACCACCTAAGCCAATAAGAACAGAAGATACAGAGAGCAATTTAGCAAGTGTTTTTCCATCCCTGTTCATCATCTGGAGTGCCCTAGGAATATGCAACTAAATAATTAGTTGCAATATGCAACTAATTGTTGCATAATTAGATAGTTGGCAATCCCGGTGAGAAATAGCTGGTTGTATAGTGGTATGTTGTCATCTGGCTTGGACATAAATGGCCTGGACCTAGGTTGAGATTGCTGTTGCCTTAGTATTTACTGGAAGGCAGCTTGCAAAGAGTCAAGAGATTGATATTGATAGTGGTTTTTCCTAAATATCAGTATGTATTAACAAGTAGAGAAGAGGAGAAAGAGAATGGATTCAGTCATAAGACTGACTTGAGGGCACACATAAAACATCACAGCCAGTATAGTCTGAAGCAGAATTGTGCTGAGCTCCAATAGTAGGCTGAGACAGATCTCATGTGGCCTTGACTCCATTCCCAAGCTATTCTGAACAAGAGTTTACTAGGGAATGTATCCATAACTTATTCTTATTTTCCAGGCCTGGATTCAGTCCTGTGTTACAAAATACCCCAGTATAAATAGTGTGTGCATCTGAACAAGTGCAAACTTTCATTCCTTTACCAAGTGTGTAATAGCATCAGCAACTAACCAGCAGTATCTGCAGGAGGTCAGTGATGTGAAAATGGTAGGTGTAACCATGTGATCAAAGCCCTGCTCTTTTTTACATGTGTGTGGTGATTCACATTAAAAAGGATGCTCCTCTGATTGCCTTGTTGTGCCTGCCATTTTTACATTGTTCAACCTACTGTGGACACCCCTGCAACTAACCCATATTGCTGAGAACAGAAAAGGGTAGCTGTCAAGAAAGCTTGAACCCTTTTCTAAATGAAATTAAAATCTATCAGCTTCCAGTTAGGCTGAAATCAAGAGTGACAACTCGGTGGATTTGAGAACACTTAACTGGTTGGTTTCCTTTCTTTCTTTCTTTCTTTCTTTCTTTCTTTCTTTCTTTCTTTCTTTCTTTCTTTCTTTCTTTCTTTCTTTCTTTCATAATTTTTATT